TACTCAATCATGGTATAGCACTTGTAATAGTTTCACATGATTCAAGGAGTATATGTCAATAATTGTCAAAATAAATTAAGGCTACCAATGTATGGTACTGAGGCCTTCAATTGCTGTTGTTATTTGTCAACCACCTATTGTTGTAACTTGTAAAAACAATATTGAATACCTCAATACGTGTACAAGGTATCCGTGAACACCTTAATTAGAACTTGCAAGTATCCCTTTCTTAATTTTTACAACGTCATTAAGAAAAGAATATTAAATTATATATGACATATATTATTAAAAGGGCAACTTTCACGTATAGCAAATTAAAAAAATTATATTTGTATGCTATAGCAAAGTTTATATAGTTGCGCTCCAAAGCAAACATAGAAACTGAATAATTCACTATACATATACAGCTGAAGCAAATTGTATAAAACGAAGTGTATAAAACAAGAAAGAGAAAGCACTTGAACAGAGAACTGTATAAAAACGAAGTGTATAAAACGAGTTTGATTATTATAAGTGTATAGAACGATTATATACAATTTAAATTTGTATAAAATGAGAAAGAGAGAAAGACAAAAGAGACTTGACAATGAATATACAATTGAATCGAACTATATAAAACGAGAAAGATAGAATTAGATACAATTTGAAAATTGTATAAAACGAGAAAGAGAGAAAGGCAAAAGAAGCTGGGCAGAGGAGTATTTTTATTGTATAATTATAAGTGTATAGGACAAAAATATATGTACTTGTATGTGTATATATAATTTTCTCACGCTTTATACAAACAGAAACACAATTTATACATTTCACTTCTGTTTGTATGAGTGAGAAAGGCGAGGGTAGCGAGCGAGATCTGGAAAAGGGGAGAGAGGGGAACAAAAATATATGTATTTATACAAACGTTTTTATCAAGAAGCTTAAGCTTCATAACAATGGCAATCATAAGCAAAGAAGAGCCAAGGCTGAAACAGTGAAACTGATTTTATAAAATGCAAAAGCTTAACTTGATCTTATGCATTAGTAGAGTATTTATAGATTACATAGAAGCATCTAGAATACACATTTAAAACATGTGATAACTAACTTTCATAACTAACTAACTACTTGTATAATGCAATGTTAATATTCAACACCCCCCCTCAAGTTGGAGGTGAAGACAACACTGCCAACTTGTCAAGAACAGAAGAATGTTTGATCCCTGTTAAGGCCTTTGTCAATATGTCAGCCAACTGATCTTGTGTGGAAATGTGATGCAATGAGATAAGTCCTTGTTGTAGAATATGTCTCACAAAATGACAATCTACTTCAATGTGCTTGGTTCTTTCGTGAAAAACAGGATTCTTGGCTATGTGTAATGCAGATTGGCTGTCACAAAACACTGAGATAGGCTTTGAATAAGGAACATCCAATTCAGTAAGCAATCGACTAAGCCAAACTAATTCACCAACTACTTTCCTGAGTGATCTGTATTCAGCCTCTGCTGATGATAGGGAAATGGTTTCTTGCTTCTTTGATTTCCAGCTAATTGGACTGCCACCAAGTAAAACAATGAATCCACTCACAGATTTTCTGGAATCTGGACATGAAGCCCAATCTGAATCACAGTAGCCTTTTATAGAAAAATCTGCATCTTTGGATAAAAACAAACCCAATGTAGGATCAGTTTTCAAGTATCTCAGAAGATGAAAAGCAGCTTGTAAGTGTGGCTCTCTAGGATCCTGCATGAACTGGCTTAAGTGATGTACACTAAAAGCAATATCCAACCTTGTGTTTGTAAGGAAGTTAAGTTTTCCAACTAACTTTCTGTAGTAAGTACTATCACTTAGAACTGAACCTTCCTTAGCTCTTAGTTTTGTGTTTGGATCAAGAGGGGAAGATAAGAAAGTCATATTTAAACAATCATACTCCTTCAACAAATCAAGTACAAATTTTCTCTGTGATATAATGATTCCCTGAGCTGTGTGAAGCACCTCCATCCCCAAGAAATAATGAAGTAATCCCAAATCTTTGATTTTGAACTTGTTATGTAGATAAACTTTCAGGTCTGCTATCTCATCAACATCAGTTCCTGTAAGGACTATATCATCAACATACACAGCCACATAAACTGCTGAGTTTAATGTCTTCTTGTAGAATAGAGAATAGTCATACATGGAGTGAGCATATCCCCTAGAACATAAAGCCTCAGTGAGCTTAGCATACCATTGTCTGCTGGCCTGCTTGAGTCCATAAAGGGACTTGTTTAATTTGCATACCAAATTAGGGGATTGGACTGCAAGTCCAGGTGGTACTTCCATGTACACTTCCTCATGCAAATCACCATGAAGGAAGGCATTATTTATATGCAATTGATACATATTCCAACCTTGTTTTACTGCTGTGATCAACAATGCCCTGACTGTGGTCATCTTCACTACAGGTGAGAAGGTCTCAGTATAGTCAATGCCTGCCTGTTGTGTGTAACCTTTTACCACAAGTCTTGCCTTGAGTCTTTCTATTGTGCCATCTGCTTTGTGTTTTACCTTGTACACCCACCTGCAGCCTATAGCTTGCTTTCCAAAAGGAAGTGGAACTAAATCCCAAGTGTGATTTAAGTGTAGTGCATCAAACTCTTGTGTCATGGCAGCCTGCCATGCAGGATCAATGACAGCTTCTTCATATGAAGTTGGTTCCCTGTCAATGCAAATATTTCTAACAATATCTTGACTAGTAGGAATTAGAGCACTATGAGCCAGGTGGTGGTGATTAGAGAAAAGGGCCTGAAGAGAAGGGCTGGTATTTGAAGTTTGAGAAACAGGTGGCTTAAGTAGAGGCATAGAATGAACATAGTCATTCATATGCTTTGGAAGTTTATGATGTCTTGTGGATCTTCTAGGTTGGTTAACAGGTAATGGTGTAGGAGATATAGAAGGGGAAGATACAGTGAGATTAGGTGACAAGTCACAAGCAGCATTAGAACTATTTGAACTATTTAGAGTGTCTTGTGTGCCATCCTTATTAAAATCATCTAAAATATCAATGAAATGAGGTAATTGCAATAATGAAAAAGGTGAGTCAGTTGTATTTGAAAAAGAATCACTAAAAGGAAAAACATTTTCATGAAAAATAACATCTCTGCACACATGTATCTTGCCTGTGGACATACTTAGAACTTTGTATCCTTTTGTCTCATAAGGATATCCAATGAATATGTGAGGAGTAGTTCTTGGTTCAAACTTAGCTCTATGAGGTATAGGGACAGTAGGGTAACAAAGGCATCCAAAACTTCTCATGTGTGAATAAAAAGGTCTTCTGAAATATAAAACTTCATATGGACATTTTTGGTTCAAAACAGTGGATGGGAGCCTATTAATTATATAAGTTGCACAGAGAATGCATTATCCCCAGTATTTGACAGGTAGTTTGGATTGAAATAGCAAGGCTCTAGCAGTCTCAAGGAGGTGTTTGTGTTTTCTCTCTACCACATCATTTTGTTGAGGTGTATAAGGACAAGTTTTCTGGTGAATTATACCTCTTGTTTTGAAAAAGTTTGTAGCTTCTGTATTGACAAATTCCAAACCATTATCTGTTCTGATTTTCTTAACTGTAACTTCAAACTGATTTTCTATCATGATAATAAAGTTTTTGAGAGTTTGTAAAGCATTACTCTTAGTACTTAATAATTGAGTCCAAGTAGCTCTACTAAAGTCATCTACAATGGTCATGAAGTACTTAAAATGGTTATATGTTGGTGTACTGTAAGGCCCCCACAGATCAATATGTAGTAGTTCAAAAATGTGTGATGTTAGGGTGGTTCTTGGTTTAAAAGGGAGTCTTTCTTGTCTTGCCATAGGACAAATAGAACACATAAAAGACTGTTTGGCTGAGAATTCTACAGGAATAGAGGAGATATTTCTCATTTTGACAAAAGGTACATGTCCCAATCTGTTATGCCATACAATATCTACATGATTTTTATCACATGGCTGAGTGTTATAAATACAAGATTTTGGACAGGAAACATAATTTGATGCATCAGATATTGAACATGAATGTTTCTTATTGAGAATAGGGAGAGTACATTGTTTATCATCTAGAGAATGAACATACTATCTTTGGTTATAGACATTACAAGAATTACACGAGATTTTATTGCATTTTGAAACATTACAGGAACTCTTCAAACAACTTGAACACAGGAAATAGAGACCCTCTTCTGCACTACCAATTTCCAGAGGCCTCTTCATTGAAGGGGCCTGCATGAAACAAAAATTCTTGGTGAAACTGATAGTGTATTCTGTGTGTGCAGTCAAAGTATGAATAGAAATCAAGTTATATTTAAAAAATGGCACATACAAGACTTTGTCTAAATTTATCATGGGTCCTAGTGCTACACTACCAACCTGTGTCACCTTAACTTTGTATCCATTAGGTAAGGCAACTAACAAGGGATATGGCAAAAGAGTGATGTTATGTAGTAGAGATATATTGAAGGTCATGTGGCTTGAGGCTCCTGAGTCTAGTATCCATAAGTCAGACTTGTTCTTGAAACATTTACATGACAGTTTTCCAAATTCAATAGAAGAAGTGCAAACAATGTTACCTGCAAAATCAGTTGATGGTCCACTAGCAAGGTTTGAATTTGTATTAGATCCACCTTCATTCTCATTTTTCTTGTGGAACTGTTGAAGTATGACTTGAACATGACCATATTGGTCTTTGGTAAGGCTCACATTATACATTTCTTTATCTGTTCTCTTCCCAAGGGGCAAAGTCTGGTGTGCAACTTACATTTGCTACAACATTATTCCCAGATTCCCTGTTGCTCCTTTGGTTCCCTTTGCGAAAATTGTTAGGCCTTAGAATCGAATTGTTTTTCTGATTTGTATTTGAACCGGCTGGATATCCATGAAGTTGATAGCACCTCTCAGCAAGATGACCAGTCCTCTTGCAATGGTGCAAAATCTGTCCTTATATTGAAGCTGAGAACGTCCATGGGAGTTATTAGGAGTATAATTTGTTCAGTAGGATGAAGGAGGCCTGATATTTCCAACTGATGAAGAAGGTCTGATGCTCCCACCAGCTGATGAAGAAGGCCTGATGTTTCCAGCATATAAAGCAGTAGATTCTGCATTAAGAAAGCTAGAAGGTTTAATTTCTCTTTGGTGTTCATCTTGAACTAGTAGAGAAAAAGCCTGAGCCAAAGTTGGCAGTGGATTCATCATAAGTATACTTCCACGAATAACTGTGTACATCTCATTCAATCCCATGAGAAATTGGATTAATCTTCTATCTTGTTCTGCTTTGTGAGTAAGTGCCTTTGCTCCACAAATGCAGCTGCAAGTGCATTGAGCTTTGGCATTTAAAGCACTTATCTCCTCCCATAGCTTTTTCAGCTTGGTGTAGTAACCTGTAACATCAAGAGATCCCTGCGACAATTCATTAATTTCTCGTTGAATCTGGTATAACTTCGCACCATTTGTTTGCTCATACCGATCCTCCAATTCCTTCCGTAATTCTGCAGAATCCTGAACATACTCGACACTATCAGCAATTTCTTTAGACAGTGAATTCAGAATCCAAGAAGTAACAATGTTATCGCATCTCTCCCATTGTTTATATGATGGATCAGTTGATCGAGGACGTGAACAATCTCCATTAATAAAGCCTAGCTTGTTCTTCACTGAAAGTGTTCTCAGAATACTACGTCTCCATGAGCAAAAACCTACTCCAGTAAATTGAACTGGTACTACCATCGCTCCAGGGTTATCAGATGGATGTATATAGTAGGGATGATTTGGATCAATTGTACTACTAATAGGACCTCCAGATTGGCCAGACCTTGCAGTAGCATCCGCCATGGATGAACAGAACCAAAAAATGATCCAGAAAACAGAGAAGAAGAAGAAGAAGTTGTAAGCAGCAATCGCAGATCGAACCACAATAAAAAAAAAACAGAAACGAAGAGCAAGAAAAAGAGGATTACAAGATGTAATCGTACACAGATCGAGCAAAGCTCTGATACCATATCAAGAAGCTTAAGCTTCATAAGAATGGCAATCACAAGCAAAGAAGAGCCAAGGCTGAAACAGTGAAACTGATTTTATAAAATGCAAAAGCTTAACTTGATCTTATGCATTAGTAGAGTATTTATAGATTACATAGAAGCATCTAGAATACACATTTAAAACATGTGATAACTAACTCTCTAACTAACTTTCATAACTAACTAACTACTTGTATAATGCAATGTTAATATTCAACAGTTTTCTATGGAGCACAATTAAATCAACCCTAGCTACTCTATTTATTTTAGGTTATTAGTTTGATATTATATACAATTTTCCCATCTTTTTTATGTGCAACAATTTATATAGCTCTCTCAACTCTTTGGTTTTCAATTAACCATCTTTAGTGTGACCATCATATTGAAATTAATGAATTTGTTTGTTTTTTCAAGATACTTGATCAGACGTTATGTTTTGCTTTGGATTAAAATAAAGTCTAAAGTATAATTTACAACTATATATTATGTATCTCTAACTTAATTTTCCTATAGACAAGGGAGTGTACAATCAAACTAGTTTCCTTAACACCCAATACTACAAATCAAATGTATTCTTTTATAAAATCAAATCAAATAGTCGATGAAATTTGTTTTTTCATTTGATTTTTCGATTTTCAAACAATTTGCACCCCTACTTCTAATATGTTCTAACTAAACAAGTAAAAGAATTATAATGTCAGTATATTTTTTTTTCTGTCGTAAACTTGATATTTTCCTCGTTTCATTTTGCTTATAAAAAATAAATGTATCACTTTACTTGTTTATTTTAGAACATCAAAAAAATTTCTCATATATACTACCCTTAGTAATTAATATTAAATAATTACATTACAAAATAATATCATTAGTAAGATTAGCTAATGCACTTCTAATTATATGTTGGGAAAATGGTCTGATATACCCCTCAACTTTATCATTTAGAGCTGATATACCCCTTGTTATGAAAGTGGCTCATATATACCCCTACTTGTAAACAAATGGCTCACATATATCATTTTCCTCTAACGGAAATGAAAATAATAATAATTTTAATCTAAATTTTTATTATTTTTTTCTAAAAAATATAATCCTATATGAGTAAATTTAATCCTCGTCAAACATATTTTTTTGATTTTTTTGTTTCAATGACTAATTAATAATTATTATTTTGATAATCAAATTTATTTATGTTTCACTAATATTCTTGTAAAATTTATTGTAGATGACTAAATTTTTTCTTTGAATACGAAATTAAATTACAATACATACAAAAGAAATAGTTTAATTTTTTTCTTTAAACTAAGGAATGTAAGAAAAAACAAAATAAGATTAAGAAACTCAAATAATTATAATAAAAGAAGTCAAAAAATAATTTATGTATGAAAAAAATTAAAATATACCTTGAACTTTGATAGAAGAATCATATATACCCCTAAATAATTTTCTTTCAAATTTTGAAGGAATCAATATAAATTTAAAACTAATTTTTTAACTTCCGTTAAATTTAACGGAAGGGTATGTGTGAGCCATTTTGTAATGTCAGGGGTATATGTGAGTCGTTTGTATAACGGTAAGGGCATATATGAGTCACTTTTATAACGAGAGATATATCAGCTCTAAATGACAAAGATGAGGGATATATCAGACCCTTGTGTCAGGTCTACAATAAAATAAGGGAAATTTTTCAAAATGTCAATATTTTAGCATTTAAGAGGACTCATTAGCAACAACTTCAATATTTAGTAAAAATGTCATTTTAGTTTGTTATGTATGTTTTTATTATTTATTTTTATTTAAAGAATATAATTATTTAATAACAAAAAGGAGAAAATTAAGGGGGGGGGGGGAATATTTCAAAAAATAGTTTGTTATGTATGTTTTTATTATTTATTTTTATTTAAAGAATATAATTATTTAATAACAAAAAGGAGAAAATTAAGGGGGGGGAATATTTCAAAAAAAGGCAAGCATCCTTAATTTTCTCATCAGTTATATTTTCAAATAAAATTTAAATTTTGTTTTTTTTTCTCCAGAATTTTTACCTTTTTAAAATTATATTCATTCCACAATATATTCTTATATTTATTATAGTTTTTTATTAGTTTGTATTCATTTCAATAGGTATGCCGAATTTATCTATATAGTCATTTAAGAAATATATTTGTATTTTTATATATTTTTCCCTATATAGTTATTTTTTTCTTCAAAAATCCTATATGTATTCATTTCAATATGTATTTTATTTGTATTTCTATTTATTCTAGTTTTTATTTAGAATTTTGTATAATAATATATAAAATACAAAAAATTAGTATGATGAAAAAGTGAATGAAATATAAAATTGAAAAGAAATAATTGAATATTTGGTGTACTCATTCTTAAATAAAATATATAACTAGTTGAAATACATTTAGAATAAATACAAATTAGAAAAAAATATCAAATTCAGTTGACATACCTTTATTAGTTTGTATTCATTCCAATATGTATGTCAAATAAAATGTAGCTATTTAAGAAATACATTTGTATTCGTATATATTTTTCACTGTGTATTTATTTTTCTTTTCAAAAAATCTTGTTTCCTTTTCTAAGTCGTATTCATTCTAATATGTCTATTATTTGTATTTGTATTCGAATACAAATAAACTAATAGAAAGTTGTTCTTCTTATAAATAAAATACATAACTAGTTGACATACATTTGGATGAATACAAATTAGGGACAAATACAAGATTCATAAACCATACAATATGAAATTTTTAATAAATACAAATATTGATAGTATACATAGTGATTTGAATACAAATTAAGAAAACATACCAAATTTTAAAAAAGAACTATAAATACAAAACAAATTAATAGAAAATTGTTCGCGATTTTCGTCGTCTTTTTCAAGATCCTCACGAGTAGACAAAGATTTTACATTTGCGTTTTGAATTTGAGGAAGGTTTTGCACACCAATGAGTCTTGTAAATGTTCTTACCTCTTTCTTCCCTCATTTTAGCAGCGGATCATACATTATACACTATTTGTTAAGTAATAAATAAATTAAAGGATGAAAAATCACCAGAAATTGGTTGATTAAGATGAATACCTCTAGTAAGTCTCTTGGATTCAGCCATTGGAGAGTAAATCATAACGGAAATTGAAAAATACAAACAACATATTTTTAAGATTTAAACAAAAATAAAATTAGAAAAGAAATCTGAAAATAGGATAAAGATTAGAGATACCTTAATCAAAGGGATTCTTGTTGATTCACTTTTGGATTAAAAAAACAACCAAAATATATGGCAAAAAAATATTTGCAACTTGAATGTTGGAGGAAAATCAGAAAAGATAACCATAAGAGGGAAAAAAATTAAATGGGAGAGAGAATTAACAATTTGAAAAGATAAATATGAGAGAGAATAATTTTTTTTTAAAAAAAGGATATATAGAATTAATTGAAAAAGAGAGATAAAATAGGAAGGAAATTGGGACACATAAATTTTTAAAAATAATGACATTTTTGACATTATTGCTAATATTTATAAAGTATGGATATTTTTACTAAATATGTTATTTATTTTGACTAGTTTACTAATTTTTCCAAAAGGGGTGAAATTCCTAACAATAGGGAGAAAACAAAGAATGTGTATATAAGCCCAAAGAGGAGTCTGATTTAATCATTTATCATTTTTCATGATATGAAAATTAATATGACATTTTATTCACAATCATTCTTCATTTTAATGGATTCTTCAAAGTCTATCAAACTCTCTAACAAAAGAAAAACAGACCCTTTTATCTTCTAGCCAAAATTTAACCTTCCACCACTCTCCATTTCAAAGAACCTTTCATATCATCGATACAATATTGACGATGAAATTTCAGTTAATTTGCCATTTAGTGATCTCATCTTTTATAGAATCGATCGATCTATGATGTTGATCTTATTCTATTCTTAGTACTTTCTTTTGACCTGTCCTTTCAGGTAATTAAATCAACATCGAATCTTATACTTAACTATTTTTTTTCTTATTTGATTTGTCTAATTTCTCTTTGCATTGTTCTCTTCATTGTCTTTCATATGCATGTATGTAATCTCTGTTATTAGGGGCGGTTGCAAGTGCTATTATATACTTTTAAAACAATACCAATGTATTATAGTACTAATTTATAAAATTTTGTATCCATCTTTGTTTATTACTGTGGCAATTAAAAAAGATATGTCAATATTTTGATTTGGGTATCACAAAGAAGATATGCAATGATCTGTATTAATTTTTTTTATCGTTATTTGGGGTCACCTTTCAATCTGAGAAATTACAAAATTATATTCCATTCGTTTCTTTTTAGTTGTCCTATAGGTTTTTTTTTTTAGATCAAACAAATAATATGAATTTTGATTGATATTTTAAAATATTTTTTTATTAATATTAATATAAAAATAGTTTTAATTTTATTATACTTTTCAAATAGTTTTTGAATATTTATATTATTATTTTAAAATATCAAATTGATATAATAACATAATTTATTTTAACTATAAAAATTAATTGAATTGACTCTAAATAAACAAACGAAATACTAAAAAAACAACGGAAGGAGTATGATCCAAGATTGAGTTAATAATTAAAATTCCTAGTGTTTTGATGAGGTGGCGTTTAATCAAACATCCATATTTGATGGATCCAATATTGAGTTATATATAATAATTAAAAACCTTACTGCTTTTGTGTATTGAGCCGAAAGAGGGAGAATATTTGGGTGTCTTAAATAACAAATTAAATCAATAAAAAAGAAAAAGAAAAAAACAACTACTATATAGCTTTATGTCACCGCCATTATTTATTTAATTTGTTTATTTCTGTGGTTGTATCACAATCCATGATTGCTTGTAATGTTAATTTAATTTAATACATATATGTTCATGACACTGGATGTATATGTTATAAAAATAGTATTTTATTTGCTAAATTAATGATTGTATTAGCTGCTCATCATGTGATTGGCAAAATGCTTATGATTCTAGTAAAGTCGTACCCCATTTTAGATTTCACATGCACTAAAATTATTAAAGCTAAAAAAAAAAAACCAAACTTAGCTCAATGGATCTCTCTATAATATATTAATTAATTGTCTCTTGATTATGATATCATCTATATAATAAAATGAAATTGCAGAGGAACAAGATCTGATGAGTCATATTTTTCGATAGCGAATCGATCGGTTATATATTGTTAATATCATCAATCTTTGTTGCAAAAGATGGATGAACATGGAGGAGGAGGAAGCAAGGTGACAGGTATAAGGCAAATTGTGAGGCTTAAAGAGTTGTTACATAAATGGCAAAATGTGACACTTAGTCCTAAAGGTACTAATTCATGTCATGAGCATGATCAACACCCTCTTCAATCATCAAATATTGATAGTAGTAGTGGCAATTTTCATGGAGGTATATCACCAGCTATTACTAAGAGGCTAAAGAACTCCATTAATGTGTATTGTGATTCGGACGACGAGAGTTGCCAGAGTCCAGAGCCACCCCATGGTGTTCCTAAAGGTTATTTAGGAGTATATGTTGGACCTGAGCTTCGTAGGTTCATAATACCTACAACTTACTTAAGTGATCCTTTGTTCAAAGTGTTGTTGGAAAAAGTTGAAGAAGAATTTGGATTTGATCATACTGGTGGACTTACTATACCTTGTGAGATTGAGACTTTTAAGTACTTGTTGCAATGCATGGAGAGTCATCAAAGAGGTGTTGATCCTCAACATGATTCTTGTGAGTTATTTTCCCTACTCCTTTTAATCTTTTCCTTTTTTTTTTAACATGAATTTGATCATTTGGTGATTACAATATAGGCGGATCTAGAGTTTAAAGTTTGATAATGTTAAATTCATTGTACTTTTACCTTCTTGTGTCTTTCACATATATATTTCACATCTGTGTTTTGTGTCGAAAATACTAGATTCAACTGAATTCATAGAACATTGGCTCCTCCATGTATAGAATAAGTACTTGAAATGTGTCATGTTGAATTTTTTTCTTGAAGAGCCTTTGGTGTGATTCATTTTATTAGGTGGTTTAATTGGAAATCATTTGATGGTTTTGGATGCAGCTGGATCTTCATTGGCGATTAAGGGGTGATTAACTACAATGGTCTTAGTGATGCATCAATCTTTAATTAGGGATTTTTATTTCTTGTTTTTAATTTTCCTTAATTCTTCTGGTGTTAATTAAGCTAAGATGATCTTCATGTAATGTAGATTTTCACAATTCTTTTTTCTCTCTCTCTTTTACTTCTACCTTTGTATTCAAAGTTAGAAGTAACAAGGTTAGATATTTTTTAACAAGGTTCATTGGCAACAAAAACCTTTGACCTTTTGCTGGAAATAACCTACAATATTTTAGTGGTTATTGACCCTTGCATTTTTAGGCAAGTCTATTTACATCTTTTGGCTTGTATTTTCTTATTTCTTTATCATATTTTTGTACTATCATGTTTTGAATCTCTCTCTTTTCTTTAGAGTTAAGGGTCAATGTAGGAATTAATATATGCATATATTCTATCCTTTTATACGTGAATTACATAGATAAATTCATATAAAAAAATTTAAGCGCTCGAGTATCTATTAATCCGATGAAATTTTTATATATATATAAATCGAAAAAAATAAAAAATAGATATAAATAACTCACGAATAACATTGAACAAAGCGTCTCGTAGGCATATTGGTTCAAGGGTAGACTCAGAGGTCATTGATGCATCGAGTTAAGGGTTCAAATATCGTATATATTTTTATTGAAAAAGCTAACTCAAACTTCTTTATTGTTTTTTTTTTCTTCTTTTTATATATTTTCACCTTTCACTTTTTGCTTAAATTTTTTATTGTTTTTAATTTTTTATTTTTTTGTGTTTCATTTACTAATTAAACTATAAAAGTATTAATTAGCTTCTAGAAGAGATTTTTTTTGGCTAGCTACTTTAAGTGAAAGATTTGGATCACCTACTATTATCATAGATTCATCACGGATGAATTACACTAAATATGTTATAGTTATTTTTTTACGTGTCACTACTCCCATTGATTTAATTAGTATAACTTTTATATTTATTACTGAAGGGTCGATTTGAAATATCTGGAAGAGAATATAATCTTGGTAACATGCTTATGTTTCCAAGGTCTCTAGCATGGTATCTTTGTTGAAGATTTAATAGAATATTTTAACTGATGAAGTAGTTACTTCACAAGCTGGGTTCTCCCAGCCTTAACTTTCACAATGCTGCTAAATTAACATGCTACAACTAAGCAAATTACTAGCAATATTGAAGGTAAGATAGATTAGGATATTACATAATACCATATATTTATCGGTAAAATTAGCCTATGAAAATATGATGCACAGTTTATTCATGTTTGAGTGTAGGGATATCAAATGAACAAGTTGAAACGAATATGATTGTCCCAAAAATTTTAAAGGATTTTTGGAAGCTAATTAAAAAAAAAAGGTTATATATTCCTTCTAATAGATGAGTTTTTGAGTAATCGTCTGTCTTAATTTTGTGTGATATCATTTTTGATTAAAAAAATATCCAATACTTTTCAATACAAAAAATTATACAATTTTACCTCTTCTTTTGGAAACGATTTCAAATTACACCACATTGTATTTTGGACAAATTATACAAATACACACATTTTATTTCATTTATTTCTATTATTCCCTATTATTGAAAAATCTCCAATATTTCTTATTTTTTTAATGTATCCGATTTGCATATTAATGTATCCGAGTCAGCATTTAATGTACCCGGACTACATACATATTATGTATCAAAGCTAGTTTTTAATGTAGTCGAGCAACATACTAATATATCCGAGCCAATATTTCATGTATCTGAGCTATATATTATGTATCCGAGCTACATATTAATGTATCCTAGCTATATATTAATATATCCGAGCTTCAATTTATTTTTTAGTTCACTAATATTGTGTCTTGTATTAGTCCTTAATTCTACCAATGCTTCAGCATGAAACGAGAAAATACCCGCTCAATCAAAATGTTTAACACAATAATTTCACAAATCAAAATATTTTAGAAAGAGATTTAGATTTACCCATGTTCTTTTATTTTTGTTTAGTAATTATCCTCTGCTATATTACATTCAAAAATTATTTTTTATATTTACTGATGTTGGAAAGTATTGAAAACTTATTATTTAATTAAATTATGGTTAGTGTTTGCACTATTTGTCGAATATGTTAATATAACATGAAACTTATCAAATACCCGGTACTCAAAGAATGAAAAATAAAAAAGACTCAAGCCATAAACACAAGTTAAAGTAAATCTATGAAATAGGTTATAATGAACTATAATGAAGATTTTGAGTCATATTTGACACCCATGTTTGGGAGATTTGGGCTTACTATTTTTCATAGGGGAAGTAGGTTCAATATGGGTACAACCAAGTCAGCCTATTTAGAAGTTGGGCTCATTGAGCTGTGGTAGACAAAATTTGAATATGAACCTTAGGAAGTGCCATACGGTGCAAATATATAATCTCAGTTTCGAGTTTTGAAATGATCTTATATTTTTCCTTTTATGCTTTATCCCTGCTAATTTCTACCTCCAAAAGTATAAGATTGTTGCCAAAAAAAAAATTACAAGAAGGGTCCCGTTGAGTTTACTCTCTAGTCTCTACTTGATAGAAGTTTATCAAAGATATTTAACTAGTTGATTTGTTTAGGTGTGGTATTTTAGATCACCATACGCTCGCTAATGAGTATCGTGTCTTTCCAATGAAGTGGAGTCATCTTCGTGAGGCCTCTTAGTCTGACTTTTAGCAATAGTCAATTGTATTCAATTGAAACTTTAAAGACTCCTAATTAATTATTTTTTTTATCACTTTAGAAAAAGAATAACAGAAATTATCTATTGGGAAATCAATAATTATTATCATATTGAGGGGAATATAAATCAGAGAATGTTGTATGTGTTGTTCATATTGATTCTCCAATGAAGTCACAAAGATCTCCATTATAGTCTCAAAATGACCAGGTTAATATTGTTAATGCTGTCTCATTTACCAAGTCTAGTAGCATAGATTTGCCTCTATGGAATAAGAGGCTAGTAGTCACTAAGATTTTGTGGTGAACGTGTTCTCACAAGTATTTATTGAAAGTCAAGAGGAGGGGACGTTAATTAAAATTTCCTTCAGTCGACTTTCTGCTCTTGTATGTTGACTCATCTACACGTAAGTAAAATAGATAAACAATAATGATAAAATTTCCTTCAGTCGACTTCCTACTCTGGTCAGTCGACTCACTTAATAAAACAAATAAACAGTAATAGTAACTTACAGTAAGTAAATAAATCAGACTGTTTTTATTCTGGTTCAGATCACCGATGTGGTTCCTAGTCCAGTACCCTTGGGTTTCAAGAGTTTCCTTAAGAGCTTGTTGAAAACTTGGGTGTTACAGAATGTTACGATTAAAAGCTCGTCTAATATGCAAATCAGACCTTCTTCTCTGACACAACCTCTACCTGTATAACATACACTCAGATATTTCTTTTTCTTTTCTTTATATTTGTTCACTCAAAGGTGTACAAAGTTTTATGAAAGATAACAAAAGATTACAATATAAGTTCAAAAGAAGTGTGTACTTCACAACTATGGTTAAGAGAGGATTATATAGAGTGGACGACTGCTGCTCTATTATGGAAATCCAAGGGTTTTCAAATCAAGAATCCCTCGATTAAATCCTTGATTGATTTTATGAATCATGCCCATATCAAATATGTCCATGATTAAATCAATTCCTTTCTTTGTTAGATGATCTCCCTGAATCTTGCTTGATAATGGTAAATTTCATATTATATTCTTTCCTTCTTCCTTTGTCCGATGATCTCCTTAGATCTTGTCTGCTATAGCAGCAATCTTCAGAATATACTATTTTCTTAATTAATTAAAGGGTTGTCTCTTTCCTTGCATCTAGGTTGATATCCGCAATCTGACAAATATATTATTTCCTTGATGAACAAATTTGCTCGTTCCCAAGTGTTTGTGCAGATTGATTGAGATCCCTTGCCATTCGTGTGTTGATCTCTCTTTCCTGATTGATTTCCTTTTTGGAATGATGGATGATTGAATCAATCTTTTAGATTGATTGTGTATTGATCCATTTCCATGGTTGATGCAGATTGTGAGTTCAATCTATTCCTTGATTAGTGTGATCCTTCTTCATGTACCTTCTTTTGATTTTCTGCGATATGAATTCAGTTTACATTATTCAAAATACCATAAGTTAACATTTATTTGATTAAGAGGTTATCCTCCACTATTCTTAAAGAAGAGGCTCGTCATAATTTATTGTACCATGTCTTTTTTTCCCTTGATCATTTAAGGGTGCTTGATTGTTTTGTGTTTGATACTAAGGTAATAAAGGTTGACAAATTCCCTCAAGAGATATTATAGTTGTGTTTATTGGGTACTCTAGTCTCCAAAAAAGATACGAACTTAATATTTTGCACACAAAGGAGTTTTTGTGAGTAGAAATGTTGTCTTTAAGGAGACTGTATTTCCATTTAAGCACAATATCACTTCTTGTTCTTCTTTATTTCATGTTCTTCTGTTCACCAAGGATCACACCACTCCTTCTTCATCTCTGTAGACTCAGTTGCATGTAGTGACGAAGTTCTAGTTGAGTCTCCTTAATTACACCAGTATAGTTCTGGAGTCCAATACTGCTCATATAAGCTTGTCTTCTAATGATGGTACTATAACCGAGTCCACTGTCCTGGATAGATCTTTAGACTAAGTAAACCTCCTATATATGGATGCATGATCTTCTTCCTACTTAACCTAAATATCATTATCTTTTTTATCTCCGATTATGTGAGTTATGCATTCCTTTTTATATCATACTGTAAAGATCTAGCTACTTATTTTGGGATCTCTAAGCCCACATCTTTTAGCTTCTCATCCTCAATGGATTGAACCACTAAATGTTGAAATTGCTGTTTTTGCGGAGAACCATAATTGGATCATTATTGAGCTTTCTCCTTGTAAGTAACCCATTGGCTATAAATAGGTGTTTAAGGTGAAGTATATTGAGAGGTATAAGACAAAACCAATTTCCAAAGGTTTTAGTTACAAAGAAGGTATTTGGACTACACATAGACTTTTTCTCTAGTTGCAGAGATGATTGTTCCGAGGTAAATCTTGGTTGTGGCTATTGCTAAACACTAACTTATTTTTCAAATGGATGTTCACAATTCCTTCTTACAGGATGATATTTTTAAAAATGTGTGTATTGTTGTAGCACCTAGTTTTTATAAACAAGGTAGATCTAGCAAATTCTACAAATTACACAAGTTTTTTTATAGACTCAAGCAAGCACCAGGACAGTTGAACCTGAAGTTAACTCAAACGATGATTCAGTTGAGATATGTTCAAACCTATTTTTTTTTATCTAGAAAGTTGATAAAAAATTTGTAGTGGTTTTTGTATACGTGGATTATCTCCTTGTAGCTGGAAGTTACTTGTTAAGACCAAGAATGATTTGAAGCTCAAGCTCAAAATGAAGGATGTGAGTGAATTGAAATTTTTCTTTGATATTGAGTTTGCTAGATCTAAGGAAGGAAATGTTATGAACCAGCGCAAATATACCTTGAAATTTATCTCTCAGATGGAGTTAAGTGGTGCAAATCAGTTCATACACCATGGAGTATGACTCACATGTATAGAGTTCATGAACTACAAAAACAAACAATTCTTTAAAAAATTACGGAAGATATTAAGATTCAAGGCTGGTAGGAAAATTGTTATATCTAGCTATAACTAAGGTAGACATCTCCTTTGTAGTACACATCTTGAGCTAGTTCATACATGATCCAAAAGAGTCTCACATAGAACCATCTCTCAGGGTAGTCAAGTGTATTAGAAGAATTCCGAATCTAAGTTTTGTCATGCCTGTACAAAGCTCACTAACTACCTATTGTGCTCTGATTGGGGGACTTTCAAGCAAATAAGAAAATTCATTACAAGAAATCTTGTAAAATCGGCTGAGTCCAAAAGTATGACATCAACAGAATTCACCTGGCTCATTGGTTTATACAAAGAGCTAGGGGGTAAGCCACTGGTTCTGTGATAGTAAAGTTATATTTCAAATTGCATCCAATCCTATATTTCATGAAAAGATTCAATACTTTGACATTGATTGAAATTTTGTTAGAGAAAAAATACTGCTTTCTCCGTCCCATTTTATTTGAATTAGTTTTACTCGGCATGAAGATTTAAGAAATAAAAGAAGATTTTTAAAATTTGTGGTCCAAAATGAATGATAGAAATTTGTGAGGCTGTAAATCATTTTGTAAAGGCTAAAATAGACATTTTAAAGTCAAATTATTACTTAACATAGAAATGTGTCTTATTTTTGGAACTTACTAAAAAGGAAAGTAAGACATATAAAAAACTCTACATGTGTCAATAAGGGAACAATTAGATGATCTACTTAACAGATGCATTAAGAGGGAGTCAATTCCCTATATGGTTACCCAGGTTTAGAGAATTGTCTTAAAATATCATTTATGTTTTATTTAGAATCAAAATATTACTCAACTATCACTATTTTCCTCCAAACAAACTTGACACTTAAAAAGTTTCATTCTCTCCTAATTGGAATGACATGTCATTAAAGTCTTTTTTTAATAATAGACTAATTTGATTCATTAAACTCATTTAACTAAAATAGCGATCATAATATTTATAATATAAATATTTATATTTAAGAAACTTTCATTATAATTAAACTTTTTATTTTTTATGTTATGAAGAATAGGTTTTTAAAATGTACTACAATATCATCAACTTTGACTACTTATAAACATATACATTCAAAAAAAATATCAATGTACAAATTACTCATTAGTGTTAATTACTTACATCAATTAATCATAATTTTATAATGAATCAATAATATTAAATATCAATTAACTACTTATTACAATAAAATTAATTGTGTATTTTGAAATTCATGCTTTCTATAATTTTTTTCTTGAAAAAAGTAGAAAGCAATAATATGTTACTATATTTTATCCCAAAAAATAAATATTAAATATCTCAAAAGTCTCCTTCTATTCTAGTTGATATGTCATGTTATAAAATTGTCATTTTAAAAAATAATAGACCTATTTAATTAATCAAACTTATGTCTCTACAAAACAAATATATAAATTATATGAGAATTTATGAAGATAATAATTTTAAAAAAAGTGATAATGTTGAGGAACGTCTTTATCAGAATATTTTTGCTTCTCACTTCGGTCAATTAGCAATAATTTTTCTGTGGACTTCCGGACACGGGGAGGGAGCAGGCGAAGCGTGTCGTTCGTAATGGAAAGAAAGATACCACTACTTCGCCTCTTTGTTGGACCGCCGGAGTGAAGTGATTCCGGGGCTGGGATCACGAACGGGAATCTAAATAGAAAAGAAGGCTAAGGTCGAGATAGTCTTGGCTAAGCAATTCAAGTACCCCCTCAACCTATGTCCGAAATCTCAGAGACACACTTATACTATACTAAGGTCCTATTATCCCCCTAAACTTACTTTATTAATAATTTTCTACCCCTTTTACTTATAAAATAAGTTCAATGGGTAATAAGACCTTAGTATAGTATAAGTGTGTCTTTCAGATTTCGGGCATAGATTGAGGGGATACTTGTGCATTTTCCCAAAACAAAAAAGAAACTAATTCCTTTATAATTTTTTACCAAACAAAATTCAATGAAAAAGACTTTGTGTGCAATTATATTTTGTAATTTTCAGAATCCCTAGGTAAATTATTTGAAAGTTTTAAGCAATTTTTTCATAAAAGTATTCAAATAAATTTGTAAGGTTGACAAAAAAATTGGTAAGAAAGAAAAAAACTATTATGTACCCTTTTTTTATTTAATTTCTTTTACTCTTTTATTGTTATATTATATTATAATTTAACTTATCATACACCAATATGTTGTGTCATCCCAAATTCATGAAATACAAGTAATAATTAATGTAATTGCAATATACATATTATATGAGATTAATAAACTGATAAATAAAGATTAAAATTTTATTTTCTAATATAAATAATATTCACTTTCTATTTTCTTTTCAAGAAATAATATTGTAAGTGTGGATTCAAAGTGCTCAATTAATTATTTTTAATAGTTAAACTACGTTTAATTTTATTGATATTTTATCCATTATATAATAGATAATTAATTGATGTAAGTTGACATTCATAATTAAGTTATAGTAACTTCTAAAAAATATTCTTCGTAGCATTAAAAATAAAAAATTAATTATGATAAAAGATTTTTAAGCATGAAAATTTCTTTTTAATAAATTAATATATATTAAAAGAAATAAATAATCATTATTTTAGTTAAATTGGTTTTTTTAATTATTCTATTTTAATTTTTTTTTTAATGATATTTCATGCCAACTAGGAGAGAATGAGACTTTTGAAATGTTAAATATATTTAAAGGAAAATAGTAATAGTTGAAATGATATTTTAGTCCTTAATAAAACATAAATAATATTTTAAGTAAATTCTTTAAACTTGAGTGTCCATTTAGGGAAATGACTCCATGAAAAGACTATTATAGTTACAGATTCTGACAGAATTTTTTTACAGAGTTTTAGGCATGATTAAGTTAACTAGTGTAGATAGTTAAGATCCTAGTAGCTACTAACTACACTAAAAATAATGAAGCTTAGATATATTTGTAATTAATCTGAACCATTAAGCATTCAATATGAAGCTCCAATTAAATTTGGATTGTGCTCTGCATGACATATTTGTGATGGTGCTCTCAACTCAATTTTCTTCATATTCAGGGCTCAAACTCGAGATCTCTGGTTAAGAATGAAATATTCCCACCAGTGCACTATAACCTATGTTAATACCATGTTGATACCATTGTTGATACTTAACAATAGCTATGTAATGTCATTTTTTAAAATTATAATTGAGGATGATAAATATATATATATATATAACTAACACATAAATAGGGGTGTTCAAATTAGAGGAGATAACTAGTGTCCATTTACAAATCCTACGAAATGCAATGTGGAGGAGACGTGTTGTGGTATGTGAGTCCCGATAAATTCGGCTGAGGGCACATGGCCTTGCACTATATAGCGTTTGTTGTGCTTCTTAATTCTTTAGCTAAACCAATTAAATTTCCATTACACCAACACTTGTTTTATTTTGTCCCATTCATTCAATCTTCTCTAAAAAAAATAATACGTACTAATTGTGATATGGTTCTGGCCCTAGCTGAAATTTTTACACCTTTTATTACTACTCTCAGAAACAAAGCAGCCCACGGAATTTGTGAGATATCTGAGGACTCTATGATTATGAGAAGTCACATGTCATGTCCAATTTGGTACTGTGCTTTTGGATTTTACTGCCCTCTTGTGTTCCATATTATAAGTATTTCATTTTCAACTTGTTGATGGTGTGATTCGATATTATTACTATTATTATTTTGGATAAAAGAATATTTTTATGTATTGTTAAACATTAGATGATAACAAATAGATTACCAAATCAGGCTAAGTTATTACATGTTAACCATAATATTAAATTACTAGATAGTTCTCTAGCTTGGTCCATCTTGAGTTGATCTGTTACAACATCTCGAAGGGTTAACACGATAAACGGCCGATCGATCATTGTTAACTTGGAATCTAATTCGAATAAAACATCAAGCTACTTTGTATGCTTGTCGAAAGTTATGACGAACAACCAAATTTTTCTAACTTCTTCAAAGTTAACCTACAATATATGACAAATAAGTTGGCTGGATGTGTCATTGATGTTGTTGCATAACTTACAGGGGCATGGATGTACAAAAGAAAGATTATTTTACTTTTAACTTTTTATATAACGATTATATGGGTCATCTAAAAGATAACAGCAATATTTGTTCATTAAAAAATGAGATTTAGAACCTATTAAAATGAAGTAAATTGCCTACTGTATTGTATAATAGATTAAAATACTCCTTACAGTTTTAAAAGCTCTTTAATTTACACTCATAAGCATATATCATAGGGTTGTACATTAATCTTAGGGCCACAACTTCACAATGACATGTTAATAATTGTATCAAGTGAGATGCAATTATTAGTAGTGATTTGAAATTATCTTTTAACTCAACAAGTTGTTACAATCATAGATTTTATGGATAATGCTTGGGGTTGGGGTGCTATATATATATATAAAAACCGATGTCCATTAACATGATGTACTTCCATTTCGCTGTTAAGCATTAAGTAATATTATATATAAATATTTTGTTTGAATCCCAAGAGGTGATGGATATGAATGAAATAATAATTAATGGATCATATGTAATAATAATAAATATAATAATAATAAATATAAGTATTTATAACTATTACTCTACATATAAAATATGTAGTAATAATAATAAATATAAGTATTTATAATTATTACTCTATATATAAAAAATATTGGAAAATTATGCGGTTAAGTAAACTTATATTTCTTATTTATTCATCATAGTTATAATTTGCTATAATTAACACTCACGACTAACATTATACATTAATTATGTAGGCTGACTTCGAGTTTGTATAATTAGTCACGTTTGTATATGTATGA